GGTCCCTGTGCTTTGCTAAGCTTGTTCTAAGTAGGTGCTTTAGACCACTGAGCCATCTCACCAGCCCCCCTGTTGTCTTTTTGAGACACTCTCACTGTGCAGTTCAGGCTGGCCTTGAGCTCACTTTGTAGTCTCGAACTCTCAAAGATCCTCCTGTCTGAGCCTCTCTACCCCATTCTGGCATGCGCTCCCATGTCCTGCTAAAGTCTAGCCTTGAGTCACTGGTCACTGAGTTTAGCCCTTCTCTCCTCCATTTGTTTTGTGAGAAGTGCTGTGAGCCAGGCCAGCCCTTTTCTGTTTTGTTTTTGCACCAGGGCCTTGCTCTGCAGCCCCAGACTGGCCTCCAAGCCACGGTAACCCTCCTACCTCAGCCACCAGAGACCTGGGGTCACAGGCATGAGTCATCATGACTGGCTCCAGGCCAGTCTTCACTCACTGTGCGGCGCAGGCATTTTGCTTGTCATTCCCTAAACAGGACAACATAACAACGGGTTGTATAACCAGTTTGTGGTGGATACCAAGGGGCAACTATTAGACTTTGTAGCCTAGGCTAGCCTCAAAACTTGTGATCCTCTTGCCTCAGCCTCCCGAGTGCTGGGATTACAGGTGTGTGGCACCACAACCAGTTCTTGCCCCTTCTTTTCTAAGATAAGCATACCTGGCACCCCAAATTAAGGGAGGTTTATTTGGCTCACAGTCTGGAGATCTCGTTCAGCCCCAGTCACTGGATCCAGAGGAGACACAGCCCGTCGTGTGGCAGGCAGAAGGCCACAAGCCAGCAGCAAGCCTGCCCTGTCCCTTTTACCCCACCCAGACCACAGACCTATTTTTGGCCCCAGCCACCCAAAGGTGTGGCTTCCACTGTCCACACCAAGGCCACTGTCACCAACAGGCAGTGTCTGTGCTCACCTGGACATCGCAGTGCATGAGGCCAGAGCATGTGGACACAGCCTCGACCCCGGCAGAGCCCGTAGTTCTCCGACAAGCAGGCCCTCAGCCACACATTCAGTGGAAGCTGCAGCTACAACTTCACTTGCGACTTCCTTCTCAACCAATGGCTTGCTTTAGAAGTGTACTTAGGTACTGAGGATTGAACCCAGGGCCTTTATAGTGAGTTACATCCCAGGCCTTTTTGTATTTGTTTAAATACTATAGACAGGGTCTAAGTCACTAACTTGCCCAGGCTCTGCTCGAATTTGTGACCCTCCTGCCTCAGCCGCCTGAGTTCTGGAATTCCAGATGCATGCCTCAGTGCAACCAGCCTGGTGTCCTCTGCTTCCCACTGGCCTGTGTAGCGCCCTTGGCTGTGGGCACTGCTGCCGGCACCATCTTCTCAGTGCCCCCACTCCTCCTCTCCTCTCTGCTTCCCCTGGCTTCATGGTCCTACTTCCTGTGGACTGACCAAGGATCCCTGGCACCCTGGTTTTCTTTTTTGATTATGCTTCCCAGTTCTTCAGTCTCAACTCCTAAGCGCTGCTCTGAGGTCACCACTTCTGATGCTGCAAGGCTGTGCTCTGCACTTGGTCTCATGCCATGCCCCACACCTGCCGCCCTTGATTTGCTCAGGTGTCCTCGCCACTGGGCTCTTCCCCTCTGCCTGACCTCTGCTTAGGCCAATCCCTGAGTCCACTGTTGTCTTATTTCACTTTTGGGGGGGTGGTTGTTTGTCATTGTGGCAAGGGCCAGTAGGGTCTGGATGTCCTTTGTCCCCTTTGGGACTCTGAAAGAAACTTAGTCCCCAGTGGAATGGCGCCCTTGACATCCCAGGCACTCAGGAGGCTGGGGCAGAAGGCTCACAACTTCAAGGCTCGCCTCACTCAGAACACAAAGGGTTGGAGACTCGGCTGGCTCCGTAGCGAGGCCTCCTCTCCAGACGGTCAGATGAAGGCTCTGTCCGAAGAGAGGTGGCCCTGCCCCTGCTCCAAGGCTGCACCCTCCGGGGAGCTGGGGTGGGGGGCTGCTCACAGCCACAGGTTGCGGCTCGGTCCCTGGCTTTCACTGCAGGGGTGTCCGGGCTGGCGGAATTGAAGCCGCTGCGCATACCTCTGGAACATCTCTGGGTACAGTGCATTCATTTTGCTCAGATATGTGGCGGGGGGGTGGCGTCTGACGGGAAGGACACAGGGAGAACGGGAGGAACTGCGAGAGGCATAAAATGCTCACTACCTGTGACCCACCGGTCCAGGAGAGGGCAACTGTCCCTCGCGAGCCACCGTAGCCCAGGGCCCTACAACAGAGGGCATTCTGGGAAATGGAGTCCGCGTTCAGTGAGCCGAGCACTAGGCTGAATCCTCCCCCGGGGGTGGGGGACACTGGGACCCGCTTTGCTGCGGGTAGAAGAGAACAGGGGCCACGTTCAGCACCACGACGAGAGCTGCTGCCTGGCTTGTCCTTTCCCGATAAGCACGCAAACGCTGTGAGCGCCTGCCTGGGACGCCTGGCCTTTGCGGGCGCCTATGCTCCAGCTTGGCTGGACTTGGGCTCTGAGATCCGGCCTCGAGCTCTGAGCTCGCAAGCCTTTGGGTCGACCTCCTCAGTGCCGTGCTGACAGGCGCGCCTCCACGCCCGCCCGCCCCGAGG